GAGGCGTGGTCTCTATTTTGAGGAATATTATGGTGGGAGATCCTGTTTGCCTTCATCCTGGGGGTTGCTTTTTTAATCCTCATCCTCACCTGACCTCGGGGACCTTTCGTTCTTTCTATTGTTTCTATGTTCTGATCACTGAGGCTTCAAGAAAGTCTTGGATCTGGGCCTATTTCACCTATTGAGATGTCACCTTGGGTCCTCTGGATGAGATTTATGGGCGCTGGGTTCTTTGCCCAGTGTTTATTGTGGTTCCTTTAAGGTCTGATGCCCTCAGCACAGGACAGAATCTTCTTGTGCGAAATGCAGTTTACAAAATATGGTTTAAGGCAGATTAAAAGTGTACAGGGGGGTGTACAGGGGGGTAGGGGCCCTCATGGGCCCACAGTAAAAGTGTCCCAATTAACCCTTCCTGCTTCACTTTTCACCACATGCCACAACAGCCCCCAGGGCTGAGAATAGTTTTTTTTTTAAATTTCTTGAAAGACTGCAATAAAAATTTACATTAATGAAGGACTGAGGTGATACACAACAGCTTTTCTGATTGTTCTGAAGCACCTTTGGCATGGGTTTGAGTAGGGTTTAATTAGTCTATTTGCTAAGAGTCATCTTCAGGTTCGTGTCCATCTCTATAATTCTGTTCTCTGTCTCCAGTTTTGGCCACCTTATATTTGCCAGTTGAAATCAAGTCTAATTGAAACACCGTTCTTGCGGTTTTCTAAAATTTTGATATTTTGTTTCGATCAGAATAGAAAGACTAAGTGTAATGGTTCGGACTTGGCTCCTTGCCAAATGCCCAACTTCGCAGTAGCAGCCCCTCTCTTCCCCCCTTTCTACTTTCTCCAGGGCAAAGGAAAAAAACTATGCAAATTGAAGAACCTGAAAACCAAGCTAGTTATATAAAAAATATATTTTATGTATATTACAGTTAAGATGCTATGTACACAGCAAACAGGAATCCAAACACCCCCCAAAGGGATAGGGAAAGGGGAAAAAAAGGGATAAAAGGAAACAAAAAGGGACACCGAATAGATATGTGCAATCAAACCCGAGAACCAGTAAAATAACTAGTAAAACAATTCTCACCACGTCCCTTAGAAAGTAGGCTTGGCAGACACTGCCAGCACTCTCCAAGGTTCCACGTGGCAGGCCAGTGGATGCTGCAGCCTCAGCCTTAGATAAGCGAGACCAATGCAGAGACCCACTGTTCCCGAACTCCGGCGGAAGAGAAGAAGAACAAAGGCTTCCCCTCCCTTCTTATTTATACCACGATTTACGTAAAAATCGTATGGAATACTGGGAACACTGCCCCTTCCTTGGTTACAAATTGGCAACCAGGAAAGGCCTAGATTAAAACCACCACACTAAGATACATACAAGACTAAGATGACATATGTACAAGACTAATAGAAGACTAAGATATATACTAAGAAACATACTTGTTTTCAAAATTTCTCTATTTTGTGATAAACATCCCAAGAAATATTCTGGTTCCAAGTGGTTAAAAGCATGTGTTGCCCACGTAGCTTTAAAACTCAAGTTGTTTTATTGCATTTAAGAATTTGTGACTTAATGAGAGCATTTTGCATAGACTATGTCTGAACCACAGGCCACTTGGATGTGACATTAAGTTGCTTGAAAAAGTGCCCTGAGTCATTTTGCTTTCAGTAATGCTACCGCAACATCACTGTACTCTAATTTGGCCTTAGCTTGGTTTTTCTCTTCTTAAATAATTATTTACATCTTATTTCCACAGCAAAACAACAGAATGTACCAAACTATTTGTTACATGGCTTACAAAATTAACGTACCCTTGGGAGTATAAAGAAATCAGCCCTCTTCATATCTGCAAAGCCTCGTGTCATTCTCCAGTATGTGCCAGCCTGATTGGTGTATTGATATGATTATGGTCCTCATAACTTAAATACACTGAGGTTATTTTCCATCTGTGGCTGAGTTAGTTAGTTGCTTTTCATTTGCTTCAAAGATCTCATTAGTAGGGCCATACTTTTTTCAACAGTGTTAGAAGTGTATTGTTTTATTTCATTATGGGGTCCTTAGATCTGTAAAATACACCACAGCTTTAGGAATTCACTGAAAAAGAAGGGATATGTGCCCCTCCTCCAAGGCTTTAAAGACTCTTGTAAGCCAACAGGAGTAATAAATAATAATAGTAAGAGCTAGTGAACTGAAACATGCTTGATTTATAATTAAGTCTAGGTAACTTTATCTTTCAAAATGCACTATTAAACAAAACAAAAAAAGTGTGACTCTTGACTCTAACAGGTGCAGTTGTTACAAACTGTTAACTATTATTAAACATTTACAGAGTAAAAGGAAAAGAGGAGAATCTGCATATGCAGTGCTGCACCTTGTTTACTGTAAATCAGAATGATTTTGCAAAACAAAAATGAATGCTTGCATATTTAAATGTGCTGAGGGGTGATTGCCTGTGTGCTAATTATAATATCTATCCAAGTCACATCAAACAGATAATTTGATTAGAGCCACAAGCCAGTCTAATGTTTCTATTCTTCTTTTTCTCAAAGCTGAAGCTATAAAAGCAAAAGGTCGAGTGTCTATCCCATATTCACTCTTCCAGTCAAGTGTGGAAGACTTACATGTGAAAGGGCTGCCAGAAGGTGTCCCCTTCAGGCGTCCATCAACGTACGGCATTCCCCGGCTGGAGAGGATACTTCTAGCAAAGGAGAAGATTCACTTTGTGATTAGAAGGTAAGGAACTTTGCATTTTTGTCTATATATTACTCATTTTCTGCTGGCTCCTCTCTGCTTCATTTTATCTTCAAGAACTTCCAAACTGGTTTCTACTGACATATTCTTTTGCAATACTAAAGAGGAATTTTAGTTGATGTTCCCTCTGATAAATCCAGCAGAACACCTCAGTGGTGTGGACAGATCTCTGGACAGATCTCTTCAATATTGCAGGTCTCTTTGTAGTGTTCAAATCTTCATCTGCAGTACCTGTTGAAAGCCATTGACTTTGGCATATTTGATGCTATCTGAGGATCCCAGCTTAAATTTCAGCTTATGCTTTTATTTATTTTTTTCCTGCTGGAACGCTGTATCAAAGTGTCTATGGCTGTATCTGTGTAGAGGATCTCCCAGAGCAGGCTTGAGGCCAAGATACAGCTACTGGTTGCTGTGGTTTAATTGGATGTGTGTCTTGTGTGTGCCTGGAGGTAGATCAGGTAGTGTACATGAAGGAGACCTAAGGTGTACCTAGAGACTGCTTGAAGCTTAAAGGAAGCTTCAGTGAGTATTGGCTCATGTTTTCTTGGGATTTAGTGGTATAGGGCCTAATCCAAGTTTTGGAAGTGGACAGGAATCTGCTGATTGCAGTGGTCAGGCTCAGAATTGGGAGTAATGACAGCTCCTACCCCTATGCGTGCTGCCTTTACCACAGGTGCTAGTTGCTGCTATTTGAGAGGTACATGGCCAATTTCTGTCATCCTGACGCTTGCAGATAACTAGGAAAGAGGAAGAAGTGTAGATTTACCTTTTGTCTGACTTAAAATCAGAAACTATGCATAGATTTTAGTATTTATGCAATGCTGGCACCTGCTCTTGTCAAATTTGTCTTAGTTGTTAGCAGAAATTAATTTCTGCTGTTTATCGTTTTTGTAATATATGGTAACCACAACAGCTCAAAAACCAGTTTGGCTCTGTGAGAAACATCAGAATGTTTAATTTCTTGTTTGTTCAAATGTGGATAAAACTAGATGTATTTGAGTAACAGAACTGTCTGCTTTGAAATTTTCCTTTTCAGAGGTTAAATTTTTGGTTTGGATCTTTGTTTCTGATGAAATGTATCTTAGAGTTCAGTTTAATGGAACCTGTTACCTTGAAATGTTATAGCTCAGGTGGATATGGGTATCAGACATGAAAAATGTTTTGTCAGTAGTGTTCCAATTAGCTTTTATGATACTTTGGTGTTAACTGGAATTTAATGTTGGGAATCATGATGTCCCCTGGGGGGGTTTATGTGTTTGGTTTGTTTCTGATCCTTCAGTAGTAACTTGAGGCTGTAACTGGAGTCTGGTTTCTCAAAGTGTCTGTTACTGTTAAAGCATGTATCTTAAATCTTTTAGGAAGGAACTTCTGAATTCGACAGATGTTCCAGTGGACAAAACAGCTACAGGAGGTAGGTTTTCAAATGTGTGAGTTGTATAAGTACAGTATTCTATTCATATTTGTCAGTCTTAGTGGTGGCTACAATCTGCTTTTAATAATAACAGATTGCAAGTAATTCCTCTGGATTTGCATTTTCTTTAGCTACAGAGGGACAGCAGTTTTTCACTGGTCATCCAAGCCAGTGTTACTGACACTCTGTCAATGGATTTGATTCAGCTGGTTTTCAAAGGAAAAACTTTGAGCTAGGTGTTAGTCTGTTGAGATATAGAGAAAAGGCAGCATTTTCCACATCTGATAAAAGAGTTTACTGAGAACTGTCTGTACTGTGGAATAATTGCTTATATATGCTATTTTCTAAAATCAGATTAACTGAAATGCAGCGATGAACACAGTGATTATAGTGGTGCAAAGATTATACGTTCCAATCACTTTTCTCATCAGGAACACTTTTCAGCAGATTCATGCTCTTATATGTCTTGTCTCCATTGAGCACCCATCCAAAAATGACCATGGACATTTAAGACTACAGGAATAGGTTTTTTGTCCAGTGGCACCCATGAATTCATTTCCCCTCAAACTGGGAGAAAGAAGTTTAGCATTGAAAAAGAATCAAGTTTTGAAAAAATTGTACCTTTGCATGGGCACTGGTTGGTAAATATCTTTCCCTGACTTGTTTTTCTGTTCAGTTGAATTCTATTGTTCCTTGGGCTTCAGGGCATTTTTTTTTTTTTTAATGTCCAATTAAACAAAGTATTGAAAGCTTCTATGTCTGAAAAAACAGTTGCAAAGAAATTGCTCCCAAAGCCAGAATGCTAAGTGGCACCTTCAACCTGGCTGAACTGTGAATTTTAGTAATACCAAAGAAGTCCTTAGTTCAGATAGTAACACAAGCATATAGACAGTACTGTTTGCAGCAGTGCAGCACCATTAGGCTTTATTATAGTCTTCTGTAGTAAAAAGTATATCAGACACAACTAAGGTGAATATTCAGGATATAAATTAAGCAAAGCAATGATGTCATAAGAAGGTGTCTGTAACGTGTGCAGGAATTAAACTTTTCCTGAAACACAAGTTAACCTAGTTTTTTGAGTATTAATAACCTACTGTTCCTGCAAGCAGCAAATTTGACTACAAAAATAGTAGGTAACCTTCTTAACCTTTACACTTAAGGTTAAGTGTACTCTTAACTAGGTCAAGTTAGGCCTTTTCTCTGTTGAGTCATATTTAATATGTTTGTACTGATTACAAAGGCAAAGTGAGTACATTACTTACCTCATAAAACCCCTGTACCTAAGAAAACCAGTGATAAGCAATTTTTATGGCACAGGGTTATGAACAGTTTCTTATATTGCTTGTCATCAGCAACTTGTAGTGATAGTCATGTGTGACCTCTGCATCCTTTCTAAGAGAAGAGAGCGTCTGTGGGAACTGTCAGTAACATCTCAGGGAACACAGAAGACAGCAGATGTCTGAGTCTCCCTTCCCTCAGTTTTCTTTTCTTCCTTTCTGGATTCCCCCTTTCCTAGTAGTTCATTGTCTCCTTTGCTACTCCATGTGTCCACTCCCATCTTGAAAGACATTGGCTCCATGTCCAATGTCCTGCTCTGTCCATAGTGCCTGCTAGCTTGTGTCCCCAGCAGGAGAGGAATGGCATGAGTATGGAACCTGTATTTTGACTGGCAGAGGAAATGATGATTTGCATTTGTATTCCTGTGGAAGCAGTCTAGTCAGGAAGGTTTTATGGAATGGCTTCAGTCCTGAAACCCTTAACAGACCGATACTGGCTGCAAGACAAACCAGTCAGGCAGTGATGGTTTGGTTCAGGAATGGCTGGAGAAGCGTGAGCTGGTGCTTCTGCTGATAGTCCAGCCTAGGGAGTGCAGTTATGGAGCTCAAGTTGTTGCTTTTGCATGCTGGCTAAACCCACGGCGTGGCAGCTGGCCAGTATCTTGCACAGGCTTCACTAATAATTTTGACTTATTGGTCACAAAGACATATTCAGAAGAAGGGATGTCTTTTCATCCCTTGTAAGCAGGTTTTCCTTCCATAGGCTTGCCTAATTCTGCACTGAATATCAAAATAATTCTTCAGAGAATGACACTGGCAAAAATCTAATCCCATCTCCAAGTGGGACTGCAGATTTGAGGTAGATGATGAAAACCTTGTAATTCTTGTCTGTTCTGTAGGAAGGGATGTCACTGGTTCAGTGGATTTTTGTTCAGTTTTAATATTATGTCATTTTTTTAATAATTATTTTTTCTAGTTCCAAGTTGAATCCATGCTTCTTCCACACAGCATTTTCTGTGTTACCTGAAAATGAAGGATGATTATGCATGCTGTAAACTTAACAACTGAAAATATAACCAAAATAATGAAGGAATGTTGTTTTTGTTCTTTGTCAATTTCAAATACAGAAAAAGAGGAGTGGCATGGCAAAGTCACCAAACTGAGAAAGATAGTAGATCAACTCTTCTGTAAAAAGTTTGGTGAGAACATTATTTTCTTTTTTTTATAGCTTTGTATTTCTTGAAGGTTGTATTCATTACTTCCTTTGAACATTTACATGAATGAGAGTTTTGATCATGTTTTTTTTTCAAATATTTAAAATCCCGGCAGTTGAGTGAAAAAGAATGTTTTAGTTTACTGCTTACACAAGGTAAAGTCATAGTTTAAAAAAAAATTACAGGTCATATATGCAGCTCTTCTGATTGCTCTCAATTCCCTCCTATTTGGATATTTTTCCTTTGATGGTGAATAAACTAGCCATTTACTTATTTATGTCTATTACAGTACCATTAAAATTAGTGTTAGAACATTTCTGGGTGAATTTTTATGTTCTCTCCAATATGAAAAAATAGTCAACTTCCTAAGAGCTAGAATGAAACGTTGCATAATGCTCTGTTATAGACTAAAAACTTTGGATAAAACCACTGTAGTATGCCTCATTGAGCAATCCAGTAATCTTCAGTCTGGTATTTTGTCTGCCCAGCAAGAACATCATACAATATGGCAAATTTTTTTACATTTTTGATGTGCTGAGACTTGGATTTAGATGTCCTGCATTGTCCCAGGTTCTGAGATCACAATTGCAATAGCCTGAGTAATTGGTATCAGCTAGCTTTTAATGAAGGTTGATTGGCTAATCTGTCCAGTTACTGGATGCATTTTGTTCCAACAGCCAAGGCCTTGGGGAGCACTGAGCCCAAAGTTGTTCCATACAAGAAATTTGAAGCTCATCCAAGTGACCTCTATGTTGAAGGGCTGCCAGAGAACATCCCCTTTAGGAGTCCCTCCTGGTATGGAATCCCTTGCCTTGAACAAATAATTCAAGTGAGCAAGAGAATAAAATTTGTGATCAAAAGGTAAGTATTTGTTTAATGCCTAAACATGGAGGTTTTCTTAAAAAAGAGGCCAAGCAAACACCCTATGTGTAATCAAGCACTGGATTTCATGAAGTCATGAAGCATTTAGTTTCTAGTTACCAAATAGGCAAATTAAATATTCTGTGTTATAAAGTGGGCATTTGCAATCCAGACAAGTATTCCAAAATACCTTTGTAGAATGTTGACATGTGTGAAAAACATAATAGAAAATTCAAACTCTTCAATTCAAGTCATGATAGGTAGTAATGTTTATGTCAAGAATAATCAGATTATTTGTGTCCTTGTTGCAGACCAGAGCTGCTAACTCTCACTTCAACTGGAGTTACTCAGCCCAGGTTGAATTCAACAGGTAAGACAGGTGCTGTCTCCAAGTGGGAATGGAAGGGTTTGGTGGATCAATGCAGCATTTCTCAAGTAACCCTTATGTGATGAGTGTGTTGGCATGTTCTTCATGGGGGCTTCAAGGAGTAAATTGATCACTATGAACGTGGATGGCTTCCTGGATTGTGGGATCATGGTGCAGTCCAGCTGCCTTTGAAAACTACACTGAGTCACCTTCACAGCCCCAGGGGACTGGAATTGCTGTCCTGGCCTGAATCAAAACTCTCAAGGCCCTTGGCATTTCACAGCTGATCCTGGGCTCTTTTCAGGACTCTGTTGGTAATGAAGCTCTGTTGTAGGAGCTTCTTCAAACCATGAAGTGCCTTAACAGAGGGGAAGAATCATTTCGGTGTTTATTTCCAAATGCCCTGACCTGGAGTGTATTGGCACTTTCTCGCTCCAGGAGTATGCAGTTCAGGTCTCGTTGGGTTTTAGAGGAGTATGAATCTGCTTGTAATAATACAAATGGATATCCAGGACTTCCTGTGTTTTTCTACACACATAGCTCACATGAAGAGAAAAAAAAAAAGAAGGAATATGATTTAATAATCATGTAAGCAGTAGTTATATCATCACAATGTATTGTGGATTTTATTTGGATTTTATGAAAAAACTCATATTCAGTAAGAGGGTAGCTCAGTAGAAAAGGCGGGGTTCACTGTGGAGCAGAGGAAAAGGCAGCACTGAGTTTGAGGCTTTTTCAAAGTAGTAACAGCAGGTGCCAATTACAGCAGTAAAAAAACCAGCTAATAAAGTCCTCTTTCGGAAAGAACAGGTGAGGAGTGATGATGATTCTTAACCCTCAGACTGAATGTTCAGAATAGCATTTTTTTTTACTAGTTATTTCACTGTATCTTTCACTGACTTATAAGTGTATCTGGAATTACCAGTGCTCACAAAGCTCACTAGGGCCAGGGCTTGATATCAGACAGGCAAACACAGCAAATGTTCTCCTGGGCTTAGAGACGAGTGAAAACCACTTTCCCAGACAAAGACCAAGGATCTTCTTACTGCAGTTGCAAACTGGATGTTGCTAAAGAATATTAGACTTCTTTTAAGCAAAAACATTATTTGTTTGCAAAATTAATCTTGTGCTCTCAACAGATAGTTTGTGAATAACACTTCAGTGTTTTAAAGTAAATTAGTCTACTTGCTTTGCCACTGAGACTACAACGTGTGAATAAGTACAAACATACATGCAAGTGTTAAATACCTGTGAAATCTATCAAATAAGTAGTCCAGACTGCAAAAAACTAATAATGCATGGAAGTATTAGACATTAGAAATAAGCAAGGTGGGTAATTTCTGAGTCAAAATTAGGATTTGGAAACAAAAAATGTCTATATAGCTTCCTCCCTGCATTCATTCCACAGCTTGGAATGAATTGGTTTGTCTCAGTAGCAGTTACTTGTTATTTGTGGATTGTGATGAAACTTAGTGAAGTATGATGCCGTTCTTCAGAAAATAAGTGCTTTTTATATCACATCTTTGGCTTCTCTATCTAAGCTACAAATTGTCTGTGCTAGCTAGCACTTCTGTAATTGGCTTTTATTTATGATAGAGAATACTACTGAAGATGATTTTTTTATGCTAATCAAAATGTTTAGCAAAGCAGTGTTTAAATCTTCATCTTCTGCTCTAATGAGTGTTATTTATTATACACTATGATTAATTATTTCTAACTTTGTAAGAACCACTAAAATAATTTCTTCCTGCATCTGAAAAACAAGTTCTCCCACTTGGGTCAGTGTTTGAAATTTGTAACTATATTTAAACAGATTTTCCATTATATAGAAGGAATTATATGTACCATTAATCTCCAATTAGTAATCATTAATCACTGTGTATCCCTGTCTCCTCAGATGTGATTGTGTTGATAGTTTTCAAGTTCTTATGTTGGAATAAATGTGTTCAAATGTACCTCTGTACCTAGAACTGAGTAATTCTCTGACGTATCTATTTCTGGTTTTCAGAGAAAGAAAATTGGAATGCCAAGATCACAAACCTAAGAAACCAAGTAGAAGAGATATTTAGTAAGAAATTTGGTAAGTTAAATGCTAAATGAACCACTCTGTAATGCTGCTGCATTTTAAAAGTCCTCTGTTTAAATGTTACTGTACTTACTTAAGCATCAGAAATATGCTAGGACAGATATGGAGATCTTGACTCCTCTTACATATGTTTTACTGACTCTATCCTATAACTGACATAAATATATTAATATCCTAGGCCATAATTTTTCCAGTCACGTGACAAGATATGCATAAAAGCTTTTGGATGAAAAAAACTTCTTAAAAGAAAATATTAGGCACTGCAGGCTTAGATGTTACCTGTAACAAGATGGACCAAGTCCCCATTTGCAGTTATTCTTCAGAAAATAATAGGAAATCTCTTTAAATCTATTTAGATATTTCTGTTGTTTGGGGTTTTTTATTAGCTCTGAGTAGCAGAGCTTCTGTAAGCCAAGGTTCTTAAAGTCAGTTGAGATAAAATTCCACCCATTTGAGTGTGTAATCTGTCATTTAATTTTTATTTTCAGCCCAAGCTCTGGGGACTTCAGAGACAGTGAAAGTTCCCTATTCTCTATTTGAGTCAAATCCTACATATTTGTGTGTTGAAGGCTTGCCAGATGGAATCCCCTTCCGGAGTCCCACATGGTTTGGAATTCCACGCCTTGAAAGAATTATCCGTGCAAGTGACAAAATCAAATTTGTTATTAAAAAGTATGTTTGCAATTCAGTTATTTTTACTCATGATTTTGAAGTTATTTGATTTTATTCCCAGCAACTTTAGGCTTTAAATGCTGCCTAAATTCTGGTTGCATGAAACAGAAAGACCATTTTGCATGTATGTTTTATCTCATAAAAGGATATACATTCCTCATTAAATTTCTGTGAATGTATAGATTGGGTGTTTCATTCATCAAGGGTCTAGAGAAGTGGAAAATGGTCTTGTACTTGGAAGCTTTTTTTCTTATTTTTTTTTCTTTTTCTTTATTATTTTTGCTTAAAATAGACCCAGAAGAAAGTTACAGATTAGAAAATGTAGCTTTGTGGTTGGGGTTTTTTTGTGCTTATAGTAGATGGAGAGTCATCTATGCTTCTAGCATAGATGTAAAGAGCTTATTGTAAGCAGCTTATGTTATGTGCACTGGAACTCAACTGAATTCCAAGAAATTTTAACATTTTGCTGTATTATTTGACTTGTAATTGATCGGGTTGTGTTCTGTCCAATTTCTAGGCCTGCGCTTGTCGCTTCCTCTTTGCCTCGAAAACTGGCTAGTAAAATAAACCAAAAAGGTAAAGAATTTGCTGCCATCAATTCCTAAATACTTAGTTTCTGCTTCCCTAGCAGACTGAAAGATCTTGTGCTTGAAAAATATGGGTGTTGCAAATAAAAGGCATTAAGATGATCTAGAATAGCAGCCTGTTCAAATGCTATTATTTGAAAAAGATACTCAATCCATAAATTCATCTGTTTTTTTTACTTGACTATCCTAGTACAGAGAATGGAATTTACCCAATTTTGACAACTTTTATTTTGCTTTTAATGGCTTAAAATATATCTAACTTAGAGCTATGAACTGCAGTAAGTAGAAATTATATTTTATGAAAAAAAAGTCCTTGAAGTTGCCTATAAAAAAATTCAGATGTTAATAATTTCTTGTTATTTAGATAATAAAAAGTACCCAAACTGTCCTTCACCTTTAGAAACAATGAAGTCTTCTGTTCTGAATTAGTGGAGTGAAAATTTAGGTATGATACCTGCTTTTTTCAAGAGCACTAAACCTACTTTTTAAGGCTGTCAGCATCACTGTATTGTTCAGGTTTTACAGTGTACTTAGTTCAGTCTGTTGGAATTTTTGGAATACAGCTGGGTTTTTTTGTTAGCTGTGCAGGATATATGTTGTAGAGGGTTTGTGCTTTACACCTTGTGTTCTCTTGGCTTCCAGAAAGGAGTCCAGGGAGTTCCCAAAGGTCACCAAGTCCCGCAGGCAATTCAGATGTCCCAGAGATTGAAGTTACTCTTGATGAAAGTATGGAAGAAATATCATTAAGCATTCTTCTGATGCTCTTCTATTTTATTCTTCTTATGTTTTCTGATCTTCTCAGCTTTTGTAGTGTATAAATAACTTGTACGCCTGCCTCACGTAGCAAAACTCTGTTTTATTTCAAGGCTCCAGATATGGTTTTGTTTTTTGTTTCTGACTAATACTGGATTCTGTGTAGATGATGCTTAGGTAGAATGTTGGAATTTTGACAGCTTGCTTGGGCCCATTATTCAAAGCAGAGATGTGGGAACTGCCGTAGCCCTAGGCAGAAATGGCAGACGTGATCAGTAGTATCAAATGCTTAAATACAATCCTAGACGAAAATCTTAAGGGGGGTTTTTTATTCTACTCTTAATTCAGAAGTTAACATTTCTCTAGTAATCAACTTTGATGTGTTGTTTTCGTATGATGTCTTGCTTCTGCTCTCTGCATATATATATGTAATGTCTCTTCACAGGTCCCAGTAAAGAACAAACGACAAATACTCAAACTAATTCTCGAACCAATGGCTCCAATATAAGTTCCAAGCCACAAGGAAAAGACTTCTCCTTTCGTAAGTGTTGTGGGAATTTGCACAGATGCATTCTTTTAATACTGGTGTGGAACATTCTGATGACATATCCGATATTTTGAATTCAGTTTTGTTGTACAGTTAGCGAATGACTGAAAGTCTTGCTTTCATGTACATTCAGTTCTTCAACATGTGGAGTAATAATATTAGAAAAATCCTAAATGATGTATGGAGAAGGCTGTACAAATGCAGCACAGGTCTGTTAGATCTTTGGGTTCAGTCAGGCCCATTAGGTTTTTGCTGGTCTTTACTGCACGATGCTTCAGACCCTTGAAGACTTTTCTGGTGCCAAGTACCACCAAAGTGCATAAACCCAGCTAAGATATGCTATAGTGTATAAATATCATAAGCACTCAACAAATTTGAAATATTGACATCCCTGTGGAGGCAGGGATTTCCTGTAGAAACCAGAATTAACTGGGTTGGAAGAGACCTCTGAGATCATCAAGTCCAACCCTTGATCCAACCCCACTGTGATTACCAGATCATGGCACTCAGTGCCACATCCAGCCTCGTCTTAAAAACCTCCAGGGACAGTGAATCCACCACCTCTCTGGGCAGGCCATTCCAATGCCTGATCACTCTCTCTGTAAAGAACTTCTTTCTAATATCCAACCTAAACCTCCCCGGGCAGAGCTTAAGCCCATGCCCTCTTGTCCTGGTGCTGATTACCTGGGAGAAGAGACCGACCCCCACCTGGCTACAAACTCCTGTCAGGGAGTTGAAGAGAGTGATGAGGTCACCCCTGAGCCTCCTCTTCTCCAGGCTCAACAACCCCAGCTCCCTCAGCCTCTCCTCATTGGACTTGTTCTCAAGTCCCTTCCCCAGCCTCGTTGCTCTTCTCTGGACCTGCTCCAGCCCCTCAATGTCTTTCCTGAACTGAGGGGCCCAGAACTGGACACAATACTCTAGATGTGGCCTCACCAGCTATGCATGATTGCCTAGTCCAAGTCTGTAAAATCAGTAAAGGAAAAGCTGGACAGAACTGGAAACCATATAGTTGTGTTTGTGAGTGTTGGCTGGAGCTTTTTGGACTTAAAGGCCCTGGCCTGTCTGTTTATTGCTCTGGCACAGAAATTTCTGTATTGAAAGCAGCATCAATTTGCAACTCAGATAAATTCTTGATAGTCAAGTGAGATGAGTGACTGCACTCAGAGTAACTGTAAGCAGTTCTATGTATCAGTAAAACTTTTTTTCAGCGTCCTTACATTCTGAGTTTTATTTGCTTATGATCAAAGAATGTGAAAGAAAGGAATACTTTAGTCCCACTGAGCCAGTTGAGAATGAATATAAGATACTGATTTGGAATGACTGCTCCTTTTGACCTGGGTGATAATCATACCGGAGCTGTGTACAGTTTTTTTTGGACTTGCTTGCTATTGCTAGACCTAGGCTTTTTTCTTTTCAAACTTTAAACTGAGTTTTTAGCTTTGTAGACCAGCCACAGACCACTTAGTGCAGCCACAAGTAAACAGGACCCAAGGGAATGGCATGAAGTTTTGTCAGGGGAGGTTTAGGTTGGATCATAGAAAAAGGTTCTTTCCCCACAGTGGGGTTGGGCACTGAACAGGCTCTCCAGTGCTCTCTCAGCACCAAGACTGACAGAGCTCAAGGAGCATTTGGATGATACACTCAGGCATGTGGTGCAACTCTTTGGAGTAGTCCTGTGCAGGGCCAGGATTTGGACTTGATGGTCCTTGTGGGTCCCTTCCAACTCAGAATATTCTGTGATTCTGTGACTATAATTTCTCTGATGGCTGTCAGAAACAAAATGCCTATCTCGATGGACATCTACTCTCACCCACTGAAGTAGAAACTGTGCTAGAGATTATAGATCTCAGGAGAGAGGTGTGTCACTGAACATATGAATAGCTTTCTGCCACTATTTTGGAAGCTGGTTCAGATGAGTAAATTTTATGCTGCCTGATACTGTAAATTTGGATCACTCTTGGATTAATTTTAATTGCCCTCGCTTTATCTCATAGCAGTATCTTTCAAAGCTTCAGGAAAATGAGGATTGATGTGAATATAGTTTTACGGAATGAAAGCCATTTTGCACATTTTACTACCATAGTAAATCAAACATAATAATTAATTCAACATTTTCTGAAATATTCCTTGAAGGCTGATTCACTGTGTGAGTGTTGATTTAATACTTTCAATTTCCTCCTGGCAGAGGCATGGAATGAGAAAATTTCTGTGTTAAGGCAGAAAGTCGAAGACCTTTTTAATGAAAAATGTGGTAAGTTTATTGATTCTTTTTTACTGAGAAGCCTTTCTAATGAACATGCAGTTAGATGTATGAGAGATGTTCACATTTATTCCAGAGGTCCTGCAATTCTTGTGTACCCTACACAGTTTCCCATCTGAGTTCATTCTCATGTACTTGCTTGGAATCCTGTGTCATATTTCCATATTTTATTTGGGTTTGGAAATGGAGAAGTTTTAGTTGGATTATGACTTCTTTAATGACCCAGAGATACAGTGATCCACATCCTGGCACACCTTTTTAAGCTTTCTTCACTCTGCTTATGAATGGGACTTTGCATGACTCTGCAGGACTCGATACGTTACAGATGGTATCTGGAGAGACGTGCTCTGTCATATTTCAGCACTTCCTTTAGTACAGGCTGTTTGGAAACTAATGAGTTTTGGAAGTAATGGTTTCTGATTACTCTTCTGAGTGCAGGTTTTTGAACAAGAGCACTGATCTCGCTGCCCTTAGTACTGTTCTCTAGAAGAGACAGAGACAATGCATTGCTTGTAACAAAGTGAGATACATATGGGATAGTCTTGTGTGCAGACCAAGCCAGTGGCATGAACTGGTTGCAAATTACTAATTTTCAGTAAATCATGATGAGATTTACTGCAACAGAATGAGTTATGTTTGAAGCTGTTAATTTTCTTTGTACTTTTTGACAGCTGTCACCAAAAAAGGCAAGCCTGCTGGTTCTGCCTAATCTAGTTATGTATGTGCCAACTATGCTATACCATTTATAGCAGAGGTTTTCTGTTTCTATACACATGAGTTACCAAACTGGTAGCTTATTTGCTCTGTTGCATTTCAGGGGAAGCACTAGGACTCAGTGAACCGGTGCAGGTGCCATTTTCACTGTTTGAATCCTTCCCGGAGCTTTTCTACGTGGAGGGACTACCTGAGGGGGTACCTTTCCGCCAGCCTTCAACTTTTGGAATTCCAAGACTAGAGAAGATCCTGAGAAACAAATCTAAAATAAAATTCATTATTAAAAAGTAAGACTCCCATATGTCTTTGATAATCTGTTCTACGGGTATTGAAATGTAGACCAAAAAATGAAATTGTGTTGGGAAGTTGCTAAATTACTCTATAAAATAACACTGGAATATATTTAGTAATTGAGGAAATGGTCAGAAAGCTCTTGTAGAGGTGGAGCAAGATACAATACTCTCTTTGTTCTGAAAGACTCTTACAGCCTGTTGTGAGAGGAAGAACAAGTCCAGATTTCTTAGCTCATTACAATTATCACATCACTGGTTTAGTTCCTACTGCAGGGAGCACTTACAGGTTGCTCATAAACCTTGCTGGCTGTGTACTAAGAGCTGAGAAGTGGAGATGCATATACTGGGGTGTGTTAGAATTTTCTTGTCTAGAACAGGTTTAGATATCCATGTGCCATTGTAGAAACAGTGGCAAGAGAAGTTACAAGGGCATGTAGTGACAGAAAAAGAAGGAATGGCTTTAAACTGATAGGGCAGGGTTAGATTAAATATTAGGAAGAAATTTTTCCCTGTGAGGCTGGTGAAGCCCTGGCACAGGTTGCCCAGAGGATGCCCCATCCCTCGAAGTGTCCAAGGCCAGGTTGGATGGGGCTTCGGGCAACCTGGAATAGTGGAAGGTGTCCCTGCCCATGGCAGGGGATGGAATGAGATAGTCTTTAAAGTCTCCTCCAACCCAAACCATTCTGTGATTCTAAGAAGTTATGGAGCCTCTCAGTCATTGCATTCTTGACTGTCAGTTTGGCTGAGAAGATATCATTTAGTTCCTGTCTTAATAAAATAGTACTAGAAAACTGCATTTTCTATAATGTTGATGATGTAATTTTATTGTTGTATGTGAAATGTTGGATCTGTTTGCAGGCCTAAGATGCTGGAGGCAGCTATTAAAGAAAGTTCTGCTAGAAGCCCCCAAAGTAAGTTTTGCAATTGCTTTATGTTCTAGATTACAGTTTCTTTCAAGGATTGAGCTGCATGGTGTTAACAAATTCCTGAAAGATGCATTCTGCATTGGGGTTGTTTGGTTCGTTTCCTTGATAGTTTGTTTCTAAGAAGGGAAAAGCACTTACTACTCACAGTTTAAATATAGTTCTAGCAAGGGAGTATTAATTTTTTTAAATTATTCACAATAATGATGCTCCTAATGCATTCTTTACTGCTTTATGAAATTGTAGCCAGTAATGTATGATTCACAGGAGTAATTCAGGTCTAGAGATAAATTATTTGCTCCTAATATGTAGGTCATCTAAATGACAAATGCTTAAGAGACAGGTGTGCAGATAACCAGTAGAGAATTGTGTCAGGTAGGTAGGTAGGTCATGGAATAAATATTCCTGTCTTGAAACTGGGTTCTCTTTGAAAACTTTGCCAATATCTGTTGTTTTGCAATATTTTCTTTATATAAGAGATTGAAGATTTTGAGCTCTCTATAAATGTTTTCTGAATTAATCCTTTTATGGATAACTAATTAATCTGATAAAGTCAATACAGCAAGAACCACAACAAACATAGTGGTGAACACGACTGCTGTTGCTGAAGACCTGAACATGATTCAAGTAACTATACCAAGTGTATATACTGACTGGTTTCACGTCATACTATTTGTGCTTGTATTCTTCATGACATTTATTTAGTTCAATGAAGTTTTTTCCTACAGTCCAGCTGGTTCACTGAAATGCAAGTACAGTCAACAAAGCATTTAGCATTTTGTTTTTACTGAGATGTTAAATATTTTCTAATACTCATTAATATCTCTTCAGTGACATCTCTAGAATATTTTTGGTCCAACAATTAGTTACGAAGTATCCACGTTTTTGTCATGCAATATATTAAATACTGATTTGGGAGCCCCTGGTGGTCTAGGGGAAAAGACACTGCACTGTCACTGCAGAGACCCGGGTTCGATTCCCGGTC